TGGAAAGCACCCAAGTGCATGAAGTGGCATGGGAAAAAAATAATTATCGGACGGACAAGCAGACTTTCCTGAATTTTAGGGCGTGAGTCAAAAACGAACCGCGATGCAGAAAGGAGAAACTTCCCTCAGAGGCACAACCTAATCCACGGTTGCCCGATGTGGGGTTTCTAGCAACTTCCTTGGAAGCAGCTAGTGCTGGTCACTGTCGGAGACGGATGGTTGAATCGACAGTTGCTCGGCCTGATGTGTTATGGCTATTCCTGCATTCCGGGCACCATCCAAGAGAATGAGACATAGCATTGCACAAGACCAAAAGAAAGTAAATGTTTACAGGCACAACGCACATTTCAGCTTGTTACATGTTCCTGAGCAGTGAAAAAAAAATGAAACAATAATTAAAACAGGTCCCAAGTCTCAGTGTGTATCTTGGCTCTCAGCGCAGTCTTCTTGGAGTGCTGCCTCTGCCTCTCTCTCATCCCAGCCTGAGCAGTACCACTGGGCCATTGCATCCAGGTCAAGGTCTTTCCAGTTACTCCAAGTACATCATCTTTCTGAGAACTGCAGAAGCCTTTTGGTGAGGTAGCTTTATGGCTTGCCATGGACTTGGGTGCTCGATGTTTTCCGCGCACGTGGCAGCAGTCACGCAGGGATCTCCCCAGCTGACTAGGAGATGTTTGCCCTGGGTATCCAAGGTGTCAGCGTGGGGGAAATTATGGATGGATTGATTCCCATGGGAGGAGGGTGGAGAAAGTAGAAGAGCAGAAGAGAAGTGAACATTTAAATTGTTTCTTCCCTGAATTATCCCTTTAGAATGGTTTAGCTTGTCTCTGTGTGCATTCGGGGAAGCAATTAGTGTGTGATGAAGCAGATGTAGTGAAGGGCTGACAGCTGTGCCAGGAAGCAAGCGTGAGCAGCTACCTCTGCTCTTCTGCTCTGAGCACACAGTTGGTCTCAGCACAGCTTGAAGGCTGGGATGTCTCCCTGCAGTGAGCCAGGTGGGTGGAGGAGAGAAGAGGACCTCTGCTCTGCCCCCTCCTTTTCCAAGTTGTTTTGCATGAGAGGATGAAGCAACGGAGGAAGGTTCCTTAGGACAAGGAAATATGGAGAGGGTGGAGAGGTGACCGAAACACCCTCTCCCCAGCGAGGTGGTGTTGGGGGTGACGGTACCTCCTCCTTTGCTGTGAAGCCCTTGTAGTATTGTCTTGGCCTTCGTGCCAGGGGGAAGACTTATCTCACCCTGAAGGTTAGCCCTTGGCAAGAAGAAAGGCCTTTTTAGTAATGATCAGCCCTCTATGCACATGACACAGAAAGACAGACCTCCACACGTGTGTTACATTGGTCTCAGGCATAAACTTAATATCCACTTATGAGCAATAGCCCTAGCTGCTGACTCACTCGCATCGCTTTTCTTGGTTCTCTCACTCGAGCAGTGAGCTCACTAGATATTATTCATTTTACTTGAAATAATAGCTGAGATGTCTACTGAAGGTATAAATGTCTAGGCTTCCTATCAGGAACAGAGTGAAATCCAAAAAGCATACAGTAACTTGTGCAACAGGCTGAGAGCACACCTACACCACTGGCTAGTGCCCATATTTCAGGCAGGAAAAACGTCCCCAGCCACTGCTGAGTCTGCAAATAAGTTGGATTTGTTGTTTAGTTTGTAATAGAAAGGGTACTTATAAGAGGTGGCAGCTTACGTGGCCTCTTGTCTTATGTGACCGAGTTATTTAAGGATCTTGTCGTTATGGAGAATTGCTGACTTTTCGATAAAGCAAGTCGCAACTTGCTTCTATGCAATGTTATGTTTCAGCTTCTCTCTATCCTTGGGATAGGTTTGATTTGAGACTTGTTAGACTATTCTGAAAGCTAGTGATAATGTTTGAATTAAGTCAGAGGAGAAAAAATGGGCCAGTGTGCTCGTCAGTCACTAAGTTATGAAAAATTCTTTTGATTTAAGAATTTGATATTCGTGTTTCTTCTGCTCAGAAGCAACTTACAACCAGCTCTTCAAAGTTTTTGTATAGTTAGATCTCCTTAATAACTTGGATAGCGGCTATTGCTGGGGAAAATACAAAAAACCTGAGCACCATTAGAAACGCTTATTGCTGTGGAGCGGGTAGGGAGTCTAGTCCGGGAGTTCAGGTCCCAAACCTAGTCCTGTCACCGATGATGGGAAGTGGTTTTGTCCTCTCTTCTCCATTGAAGTTTCTGTGGATATAGTACATAGCGAAACAGATGGGCGTGATGACATTTCTCTAACCGAGAACTATCAGAAATCTTCCTGTAAAGATTATTTGCTTTGATCTTGTTGGGGTAGTAAAGGCTTGTGTTTGTAAAGCGGAAGAGCCAGCTTTTCAGAAGTCTCTTTTTTTTACAGAATGCTTGACACAAAAGCCATAATTCTGGGATTTTGCTTCTCTTGTTAAGTCTTCATGCTTTCAAATTCTTGGAGCTAATTTTCATTGACAATAGGAACATTCCTTGAAAAATGCTGATGTAATGAAGTACGTGCTACTTGAGATTAAAAGATTTATTCAGTGACTCCTTTTTGAAACTTTTGCAAAGTGTCTTAACATTTTTATGTTTCTCCAACTGCCAACAAAATCACATTGCACCACACAGTTTGCAACATTAGTCAGATTTTGACACCGGCTCACGCAAGAGGCAGTTTTCACAGTCAGGAATCATAAAATGTTAAAGAAATTGCCATTATTTGAAAACTAGACACAGCTCAGTGAAGCAGATGGACTTGACTTAGGAGGTCTGTAGCACAGCTGTGTTGACACGGATTATAGACAATCAAAATTGTATATAAAATGCATGCCATAGTTTTAGTTTTAAGCATATTGCTAGCATTTAATGAAGTATGTAACCTTATATGGTTTATGTATTTTTGTACTGTAGCTGCAAGTTATGCTAAGGCCTTGACTAAACCTTCCCAGAAATCTCTATTACTATTTGTAATGCAGGCGCACAGACTGAGAGTGCCAATAAGCCTTTGATTGAATCTTGATTAATGTAAATACGTTAAGCCTGTAGGTGCCATTCCAGCCTAGGGAGCTTCTTACAGCTTTTTACCACATCCACATCAGAGTTAGAGCCTCTTTGCTTCAGATAATTTCCAAAGACCAACTGGAGAATGTTTGGACTCGCTTGTGAAGGATCAGGGATAGAGACATTTCCTGAAGCCCCTGGCTGGCTTGTTTGCAACACCATCCCAATAAAAATTAAGCCCTCAGACACAAACTTAGGAGAGGAAAGAAGAAAACAGAATTCTGATAGGTTTCACAACCATACTCTCTGATCCCAGGAGAAAGGTTGGGTAAGAAACTCTGTGATCTTTCTTACATGTCCGTCTGTCTTCGAAGCTTTCAGTTAGTTCTCTTTTACTAGTCAGGTCTCTTGGGTTAGGTGAACAAGTTGCCTAATTGATTTCAGTGCATTGCTTTAACTAATTGATTCCTCATCCAAGCAAGCAGGGGAGGGGGTGTAGGAGCACAGCGTGCAACCAAGTGGAAAACGGGATGTGTGGTGGATGCAGGAAAGGGACCAAGAAGCATGGGACGTTGTAACGGGATCTAGATGGGTGAGACGGATCAAAGCACTGAGTTCTCCTCTTGACTGGTGCATGATAATGTCAGGTGCCTTGGTACCCGTTTTGGTGGCAAAATTTGCAGACTCCAGTTTGCCAAGAAAATGTGCTGAATGTGCATAACTTCTTCTGTGTGTGGAATGGGACAAGGCAACTCCAGCGTAGGGGCTCACTTCTTTCAAAGTAAATCTTTGGGGGAATAACCCTCCTGATCTACGTAGCTGCCAGCACTTGCTAGGAATTCTGCCACTGAGCAAACTGTAACTGCAAAGGCACGTGATGAGAAAGAAAGAGTAACAAAAAGAAAGCATCCAACGGCTTTTATTCTTCCTGCTATGGTAACGCTCTGCAGTGCATTCTCCTTCTAGATAGCTTCTTCAAAGTAAAGATAGTAGACATAATTCTGCAGGTGGGACCTATAGGTAACGTAAATTACTTTTATCCCTTCCCACACCTTTCTAGACTACATGCTACAGATAACCATACTACTACTGCTGCTACAAGCAGTCTGCCCTTACTTACCGTGAAGGGAAGGATTTTCATTTGTCATTTCCTGATTTTACCTGTGGACAATTCCACCTCTTAAGGCAGTGTCTTGTGAGACATTAATAGCAAAGAGCTTCTTTTCAACCCACTCAAGCTTGCCTCTTCCCCAATATAGTTAATGTCTTCCTCCGGTGAGCTTCGTCAGAGCTTTTAATCTCCTTCTATTGCCTGTTGGCTGCTGTATCCAAATACCACCATGGTTCTTGGTACCTCCATGGCTTGGGTACCTTTGCACAGCAACAACAGAGAGAGAACAGGGGCTGATATCCAGACCTGTGTTTCAGGCTGGCAGGCATTTGGCTCCTGCTTTGGCTCAGCTTTTGGTGGACCTCTTGTCCTTCTTGTCCAAACTCTACATATGCAGGCATTTTCCAAAGTCACATGCTGTTCTGCAGATGTCTGATCTTTCCCACCTCCTGCCAGCTCCAGGTGTTTTTTCGGTGGTCTCTGGCTTAGCATTCCCTGTGCCTTTCTCTATGACATATTTTGGATTTTCTATCACGTCAGCAGTGTCTAAACATTGTCCATCTGCCACACAGTTTGTGCTGGGCTGGCTGACTGCTAACGGCTTTACCAGGGTGCTTTTCTTTGACTGCTCCAGGTGCCAGTCACAGTCTGGACCCTTCTCAGAAGCTTAAGCCTCACTACTGCAAGCCGAGTGGTTTAAAGCCCTGACTTCCTCTTGATTTGTGTGAATGGGCAGACCCTTAGGAAAGCCTTGTCTAAACTGTTTTTTCAGAAGGATTTCTTTGGGTTTTCTGCTTTTTTTTTGTTGTTTTTTTTTTTTTGTTTTGTTTTGTTGTTGTCTGTTTGTTTGTTTGTTTGTTTGTTTTTAATTTACTCCAGCCTTCCCTTCCAGGTACCTTAGTTCTGTTTCAGCCTTGAAATATTGCTTGTTGTTCAGTGTCGCTTGGAGCCCAGGAGCCAGGGAGAGCCTGCTTCACCGCTTGACTTCTCAACAACTCCAGAAGAGGCCTGTGTGACATGAACCTCTCTAATGGGGCCTGTCCAAGGTATGCTTTCCTATTGTCATCTGGCCTAAGTGGGTCCCTGTTAAACCTACTGCTACAACAGTGCTACAGACACTTGTAGACTGATGCCATTACTACATGATGACATCTCTGGCTGTCCAAATATTTCCTCTGACTTGTGTTTTCTGTAACATCATTTTCCTCCTGATTTCTATGGCTTACTGTGTGTTTCTTTGCTTTCTTTTTCTTTATTTTTCTGTTCTCCAGCTGTTCTTGCAACACACACAAAAAAGTGCACAAGTATTGCAGGACTCGCTGTGACTACCTATCAATTTTGCTGCAAACATGATAGTTCTCTTCACTTGCCTTTTCAAAACGAAGCTATCTAATCAAAGAAGAAATCTTATTTTAAAAAGTAATCTTTAAAACACGCAGTGCCTTGATTTGTGGTTCCCATAAAATCGCGTGTCTTCAGCCAGAGTTGAGAGGTGAATTATTGCCTTAAGTGGCAGAAGAAATGAAAAATGGTGGAACCTTGTCTCCCTCTAACGCACGTATTCTCGGGGTCACTGGTGATGTCATACCTACGGCTGTGTCCCTGTGGTCCCAGCTCTTTAAGCAGAAATATTATTTCCTAATCTCAGTAAAACAATCCAGACGTGCATTGTGGTATAATTACTGTATCTTTCCTTGGCTGCAGTTGCTGGAGTTCTGGCTCTGTGCGTTGGAGGACCATCTCGGTTGTTTCCCACTTGCTTCGTTACACTCTGCTGGTTGATTTGCTGCGTCGTCGTGGGGAGCCGGCTTGTTGTGATGCCCATGGAGGAGAATGTATGCATATTTGCATACTGATGCTAATGCAGGTGTGTCTTTTTTATTTTGGGGAGAGAAAAAAAAAAAAAAAAAAGCACATGTATCAACAGCCTCAGAGTATCAAAGAGCTGCTGCTGCTGCAGCTGGAAAGGTATCTGGTCATACTTGGTCTAATAGCTTAGCAGAGTTTGCTCAACATGCCCCAGCTCCTCCCAAAGATTTACTCCATGGCCTAGTGTAGGCCAGGCAACGGTGCCGTTGAAGTGGCATTGCAGCCTTGTGCCAGGGATCCTTAAAGAGTGGTCATCTCTGGGTCAGGTAGATTAGGATGGTAACACACAAATTAGCAGTGTTGATGAACTGGATTGTCCTGAACGTGACCTGTTCTTTGCCTTTTTTGCCCCATTCAGCGTAACTTGAGATTTTGATTTGATCTCTTCTGTGGCCTATAAAATCATAATAAGAGCTTTAGTGACGCCTCTCTAATTAAAGTTGAATTGAATTTTGTACTTCAAGCATGACTTAAACATTTATTACTTGTGACAAATTGCACCATATTCTCCCCAACTTACACCAACCATTCTTTGAGTACCAAATTATATTTCTGTGAGATATTTTTTGTTGTTGCTTTTGTGAGTGGGCATTAAAAAGGGGCCTGCTACACAATCCATGCATGCAGGGACAAATTTTTAAAACAGTTTGCCTTAAGCCAGTAAGAAAATGCATCTCTCAACCTCCTCTCGCTGTGGTATCTGTCCGCTTCCTAGATTTAATTCAAACCTTACTGACCATGATGGGAAGACTCCCAGTTACTTCACTGAATTTTGGTTAGGAATTCTTTTACATTGTCCTTTGAGTGTTCAGCTTACCTTTGCTGGAAGTAATGAAAAATATTGATGTGGAAGGAACTGCTCAAAGTCCAACTTAGTCTTCAGTTCAGGTTGCAATTGCTGTGTGAGCAGTTATACACATTAGAGGTACCTGAATGGACAAGGTCCAGAGCAACCTGCTCTGAGTTGGCCCTGCTTTGAGTAGGAGGTGGGATTAGATTTCCAGAGGTCCTTTGTGACTTGAAATAGTCTCTGATAATAAGGTGTACCAATTTTCGAGGTGTAGAGGGAAAATGTGATGCGACTGAAAATAGTAGTTAACTGCAAAGGTACACAAAGTTCAGAGATAGTTGACAAGCATGATAAGTAGAATTAAACTGCTTGAGTACTGGAAGGATGTGAGGGAGAGGAACTAGATAAGCAGTTTTTGACCTACGTTTGAAAAACCTACAGTCTAGGGATAGGTTGGTTGATAAGAAAAGTAAATATATTGTCTGCAAATTTCCGTTTACTGCCGAAGGTGTGTCTACTGGAAGAACCTTTAGCAGTTAAAAAGGGCTGAAACATGTGGTAGAACTCTTGAGCTGGGAAATGGTGAGCATGGGGGCCTGAATGACCCTGGTAAAGTGACGTGGGGGTGGCTGTTCTTACACACAGAAGAGAGAAGGTTCTTTCTTCTTCCATCAGCATGTCTCTCCCTGGTGAGTCTGTGGTTTGACTATGGGGACAGGCAGTGGAGATGAGAGAGTAGAAGGTATGATCTTGACTGGAAACGTAAAACCCATGAAAACCACTCAACTGTTTATTTTAGAGGTGAGGATCTTCCATGTTTCTTATTATTTATCTTACTGGTGAGACTCATCCATGTTTCTGTTCAGGTTTCACCTTATTAGTGGGGAAGCGTGAAAGGAACTTCCCTGGCAGGGCCCGGTGGACCTGGATGCAGAAGAGAACCAGGTTATTAAAATATATATGAATTGAGCATGGCTGAGAAAGTGCAGGGTCAATCTGCAAACTTGAAGGATGAATTTCTTCCCATTATTTCTGTTATTTCACTTTAGTCTCATCGTGTGCCTTTCTTGCATTTGGTCTCTCCTTTTAAAAAAATCTTGTAAATTTTTCTAGTGATCTGGAAGATTCTTTTTTTTTTTTTCTTTAAAGAAAATAGTCTGAGGAATAATCTCCTCTCCTAGGCAAACAAATGTCTTCAGAATGAAACATGCATACACAAGAAAATTCCATTGAAGGGGGGAAAAAGCATGCTTGGCTTGGGCCTCTCTCAGCATTATCTGATATACAGTATTATGTTATCCTTAGATAGTCTGTTATTGTCTTCCTCGTCCTGAGCAAGATGCCAGCAACCATCTGCGTGCAGGCAGCATAAACTGTATATTGAACTATTTGCTGGCAGACTGACAGTGTGTGGTCAAGTGTACAGCAGGCTCGGGTCGGGCGCAGTCCCTGGCTCTGGGGCTGACCAGCTGTGCAACCTCAGGCAAGTGACTCCATGTCTCTCTTCCCTTCCCTTCCCTCTGTTTCAACTGTGATCCCTCCGAGCGCCTCTGCCCTGTGTGATGCAGCGTCCTGCGGAGATGCCCAGTGCTCGGAGGGATGTCGATGTGTCAGTGGGATACCACAGCTGAGCCAAGCAGCTCGGGAGGCTGGCTGGGCTTGGCCGTGGGCCATGCTGATGTGGCTCTCCCGTTCTTCAGAATAATCTACTCTCTCTGAATCTACTCTCCATCGTGCTGGCTGGATGTCCCAGCTTGTTTGGAGTCGGCTCAGGGAATCTCTGTGAGGAATTGTTGCTCCCGTGAGCTGAGCATGTGAATTGCTGGTGGCCAGAAGGTGGTAGGTGGTTCTCCTTGACTGCCCATTTCTCGGCTCAGTCTTCCAGACACATGTGTGGGCTAGACTTGATGCGCCCGAGCTCGTCTTCACTACATCTGCATAGCAGAGAGCAACATCAGAAGGGAGTGTCAACTGCCTTTACCCTCATGATAACCATAAATTGTACCTGAACTTTCTCTGTATGCCTACCTTGAAAATTTTGGTCAAATTTGGGCAGCTACTTGCATAGGATACAGACAGCTACATAAAAACCTTGGTCTGTATTGATCGTTAGCGGAGATCAGCACCAAAGATGGTGGAGAAACACCAATTGGTCCTAGCCAGACATTTGGTGAAATACATGTATTAAGTCGTGATTGGAAGAAGCACAGCTATTGTCACCTAAAATCTCCTAAAAATGACTTTGCCTCTGTTTCCATGTTGTCCGTGTAAGATGATTAATAGACAAGCAGGAGCGTTTAGTGCTTTGTGTTAACCCTGCATCTTGAGCCCTCAGAAGCCATTCTTTTTACTGATACCAGATCGTAACGGTGGGACTTTGCAAATGCTGTGTGTGCAGATAAAATGCTCAACCAGGAATGATCTCTTTGAAATAGAACCTTGGCTGTGCAGTGTACAGCAGAGCTTCCTCACCTTCAGCTAGCCAAGGACTTGCATGGAGTTACATTTTTGAGTGGACTTGCTTCTCCATGCACTCCCATAGACTGCCAGCGAGATACAGCCAAGCTTCTCATGCTGGTGAGATCTTTCCTTGATGGCTGCAGCTCTGGACCTGCAAAGGCTTCACTGGTCTTCCCCAGACACTTCTGCTAGTCTCCTGCTTCAGAGCAGGCCTAAGGCACAGGCTCAGTAAGGTCCCTGCTAATTAGTCAACAATTAAAATGTACTGCATTTTATGCTAGTAAATTAACTGGAAAGACAATTTGGCATTTTTAACAAATGGCAAAACGCCTTGGGTACTGGATTGCTTTTATCGGCCTGGCTTGACTGCAGCATTTTCCAGAAAACAAATTAAATCATCCAGTGCCACTGTTGCATGGTTGTCTTGGTTCAGAAGTAACCACTGGCCCCTGCTTTCAGGGAAAGGTCTGAGAGTTTGTTGAAAAAAGTTATACCACTCTGTTTGGGCTGCTGCTTTTAAAGCAATATATCTTCTTGACGTGATGAAGTAACACCAGTTTCTCACTGAGAGTATAGACATGATCTGTGCATGCTTCCTTATACTAGAAACACGTCTACACCAGGGTATGTAACACACAGAGATCTTTCCAGTTAGGATTGATGTATACACAGACGTGCATTTGTTAAGTGGAAGTTACGGTTAAAGAACTCTGTTAAATCCCTGCATAATACTCTGCAGGTGGCTCAGGCCAAACTGACCCCGTTGAGGTAGGTCTTTGCCCTGATGTAACTGAATCAATGTAAAATTCTGCATGAAGTGATATTTAGATTGATGACTAGACCAGAATATGTGTGACAAGTTTCAACTCCTCTGGAAAAACAATGGAGATGATAACAAAGTACTGTGTGAAATTTTGAAGGTTTTTGACCCGTTGAGTTTTGTACCGGTGCTGTGCTCTCCTCGTGCTGGGACTCCAGTGCGGTTGGCTTTATTTTGGAGCAAGGGAGGTGGTTAAAAGTTTGTCTGCAATGTGTGTGTTGGGACTGTGAGGTTTAGCGTTCCCCATGGACAAGGTCTGCCAGACAGAGCTGAGAGCAGAGTTGCCCAGTTCAGTGAGGACACAGACGATTTGGGCAGGGGAGGTGACCATTCTTAGTATGCTGGGAATGTGAGGGAAGAGCCCTCTGTGGCACAACTCCATCTGCTTTTACTTATTTCTCCCTTTCATATTCCATGGGGTTTTGGTTGTTGTTTGTTGTTCTCATCGTCTGGACCTTCCTTTAGGCTTTGTAAGCACCGGAGACACCCCTCCCTTAGTGTTTGGAGACACTTCTCTCCCACCAGCTGGGAGCGCGGCATGCCCCATCCACCACGACTGGGAACAGGAACCTGCCCGGGACCGGCATTTCATCCTTTCCCCAGGAGAGCAGTCATGTTGCCTCTGCATTTCATTGTGTCTGGGGAGGGGAGATCGCTCCCAAACCCCGAGAGCAATGCAGCTTGGTCTTGTGGTGCCTTCTGCATGATTCTTGTTCAGCGTGACATTCTTCCACCTGTATTTCAGCGTTTTCCTCCTACTCTCAAATCCAATGAGTCACCTGTGGGAGCTGTGGGTTCCTCACATTTTGTTATCATTGCTTTGGGGTCCTGTTCAGGTTCCACTGAAACCAGCTGAGTGCTTTCCATCAATGGAAGCCTTTTCCAATGACAGTGGCAGGAGTTGAGCCAGGCATTCGAGTAGCAGTGC